AGTTGTAATGGTTCCTATGATCCTGTGTCACCTGATGCCCATATAAGGAGTTGTAATGGTTCCTATGATCCTGTGTCACCTGTTGCCCATATAAGGAGTTGTAATGATTCCTATGATTCTGTGTCACCTGTTGCCCATATAAAGAGTTGTAATGGTTCCTATGATTCTGTGTTACCTGTTGCCCATATAAGGAGTTGTAATGGTTCCTATGATTCTGTGTCACCTGTTGCCCATATAAGGAGTTGTAATGGTTCCTATGATCCTGTGTCACCTGTTGCCCATATAAGGAGTTATAATGGTTCCTATGAGTCTGTGTCACCTGTTGCCCATATAAAGAGTTGTAATGGTTCCTATGATCCTGTGTCACCTGTTGCCCATATAAGGAGTTGTAATGGTTCCTATGATCCTGTGTCACCTGTTGTCCATATAAGGAGTTGTAATGGTTCCTATGATCCTGTGTCACCTGTTGCCCATATAAGGAGTTGTAATGTTTCCTTATGCCAAATGTAGAGTTTACTTGTTTATCTTTAAAATAATAAGTAATATTCATTACCATTTTAAAAACTTGATTAACAAAATTAAAGTAAATTCTAAACTTATGTTGGGAACTACAGAATAGTTTCCACAGTAACCATATAATAACCATAGTAACCATTTAGTAGTAGTATATTCAGAATATCAGTTAAGAACAGTTTCTCTAACAGAAACAAACATACTTATCCTTTTGGTACTTTAATAATATGTAGTTACCAGAGTAACCACAGTAACCATGGAAACATATTTATCTTCTTGGCACTAAACGGGCTGATAAAGTACGAAAAGGGCCTACAACAAGACTAGAAATAAAAATGCAAAGAGAATGTGTTATTAGTTATTACAGAAATTACTGTATGAAGCCAGTGGTAACTATGGTTACTGACAGTGGTAACTATGGTTACTGACAGTGGTAACTAAGCGTACTGACGTCAAAAAGCAAATAAATCTCGTCAGCAGATAAACGTGCACCATTTCAAGGCCGGAGCGATAGTGTGCATAGTAACCACTTGTAGCCACTAGTGTCAATACTATTTGCAAGACATTTTGTTGTAGTGTAATCTTCTCTGCCCACAAAGGTTACTATGGTTACAAAGGGTTGACGTGAGGATGATACGATAACTCACTATAATACAGTGCTGCTTTGTTAGAGCCAGCAAGGGCGCTATCAAAATAGCAGCTTTGTTCGCACTCTACAGCGGTAACCATAGTAACCATGTACACCTGCCCTCAAAACAGTTACTTTCAAAAGTAACCGTAGTAACTGATCAACAAGTTAACCTAGATGTTACTCAACAAAACAACAGTTACGGTAAACCTTATTTTTGTTATTTTCCTTTATTTTATTTATATTTTTACCCTCACCCCAATTTTACGAATAATCTGCATCTATTATAGTAGTATAGACATAGTGTACACTTACATACTTACTTCCACGCTACCATCCTACCGTCCTACTGCACTCAGTCCTAGTTAGGCTCAAGAAAGATAGAGCACAACAAGGCTGACCAAGACAAAGTAGTAGTATAGTGTAGTTACACTAAACATGCGTACTAAACATGCGAGTATTGCAAATAAATAGTACTGTCAAGTGTCTTACAAACCATATTTCACATTAAAAGAGTTAAAAGAATATTCAGCAAAATTATTTTACCCAGATTTATAAACGTTAGAAGTGATTAATTGCAAAGATGGGAGGAAAACGCAAAGTTGGATAGTTTCCATGGTTACCATGATAGACATCTTGCAATAAATGAAAAGAGACAATATTATGTAATATATTTGTCATTACTAGTAACACCTCTACTCTGTCAGTTCAGATCTGTAATCCAGGTATTTTCCTGTAGTAACCATTTTTTTTTTATTGAAATCTTTCAATTATTATCATCAGAATTTATTACAATATCAATGTTGTATAGAATTTCTAAAAATGGACTAGAGAAACCAAAAAATGCCTTGACAAGTGTACAGCGATGATAACAATCAGGGGACACCAATACACCCAAATAACCAAACAAAAGGCCTCGAGAGACCTGATGAAAAGTCGAGCAATTACATTGGGCCCCAAGTGCAGAAGGAGAAAAATGGGCAAATAATATGAGCTGTGAACTTAGGAGGCATTTCTAGGTTTTTAAGAATAATTGCCACAACCCAAAAATTCTCAATTACAATTGGCTGATTTGTAATATTTCCAATGGAATGAAGTTTTAACGATAAAATTTAAATAATTGAATATAAAAGACTAAATCAAAATTGTATCCGAATAAAGCAAAAATGCGTGATGAGTACCTCAAAAAAAATTAAAACAAAAATAATAGAGAAATACACTACCCGTAGTCTGGAGAAAAAGAATTGTCAGGATCTGAACTAGGGTCAATATCTACAGATGCAGTACAAACATGTTCCTTCCAGATGTGTTTAATAAGTTCTGTTTTAAACACACCTGGTCTGATAATCTCTCGAAGGGAAAGAGGAAGTCGGTTCCAAGTGAGATGAGCTCGATAAAAGTAAGATTTAGATATAGCTGAGCCAGGTGGAATTGAAGATATTACTGATAAGTGATCAAGATGTGAGCTTCTCAGTCGGCTTGACCCGGAGAAGAAAGTAAGGTACTGAGGCAGAGTGGTGCATGGGTGGTATTGATGCACTAGGGAATGAAAGAACTTGAGATCATGGTAATCAAACCTGTACTTTAGGGGCAGAATATTTAACTGTTTACAATGGGCATTATAGATTTCCTCTACACTATAGCTTACACCGTAATCATTACGAATCCATTTGAGGGCCCTTTTCTGCAATCCTTCAAGCCTATTGATAGTGCTACTGGACGCTGGTCGCCAAATGATGGGACAGTGTTCGAATATTGAGCGTACAAGAGTAAGATACAAGACTCTTCTCTTGTTCAGATCATTAATAAAATGACAATTTCTCTTAAGCATGCCAAATTTTTGGTTAGCTTTACCATATAGAGCATCGGCCTGGCTATTAAAATTTAGATTAGACGTCATGATTATGCCTAAATCTTTTTCAGAATCTGTATAATCAAGAAGAGTTTGGCCCATAGAGTAAGTGTAACGTGTAAATGGTAAAATGCCATCTAAGGGAGACCACCTCTTAAGTATAGCTAAGACCTTACATTTATCAGGATGAAACTTCATCTTATTAGTTCTTGCCCATGTCATGAGATAATTAATATCGCTTTGAAGTATATGGTGGTCTTCCTCTTGGGATATCTCTCTCCACATTTTAGTATCATCAGCGTATAAAAGGATATTAGTGCCCTGAGAAAGTCCAGAATATATATCATTTATGAAAAGAACAAAAAGTGTTGGTCCGATTATTGACCCTTGAGGAACACCTGACAACACCGGTAGGGTTGCAGAGATAGCCCCATTAACAACTACACATTGCTGACGTCCGGAGAGGTAACTTTTCATAAATTGGAGAAGCATTCCATCGATGTTATAATAAAATTTTAGCTTGTATAGTATTAAGTCGTGGTTAACGGAATCGAATGCTTTGGCAAAATCGAAGTAAACAATATCAGATCTAATGTTCTTGTTAAGAGAGAGGGATAGGCTATCGCAGAATTCAACCATCTGAGTTGCACAAGATTTGTGAGGCAGGAAACCATGTTGACGAGGATCAATTTTATCATAACATCTACTCAAAAGTTCATCTCGAATAATTCTTTCCATGACTTTCATAACTAAGCTAGTCAAAGATATTGGCCTATAAAAAGTAAGTAACCATAGTAACCATAGTAACCATAGTAACCATAGTAACCATAGTAACCATAGTAACCATAGTAACAAACTGGAACCTGCTTACTACGTGTAACACATAAAACACGACACCACACAACACACACTCACAAAACTAGATATGTTGTAAAACACGTGTCATTCTAATCGCAAAACATTAAACACGTGGCCAGAGAGTCTTATCCGCTAGATTAATTAGCTTTCAGTAGCCGTCTTAGTGGGCTCGTGGCATGTAGAGTTTGCAGGGGATTAATTCTTATCATAGCACTTTGTCTTGCAGCACTGCCGACATTGTTCTCATATCAACATAGTAACCATAGCAACATCAGTAGCCACAGTAACCACAGTAACCATAGTAACAACAGTAACCATAGTAACTATAGTAACCATAGTAACAACAGTAGCCACAGTAACCACAGTAACTCTAGTAACTATAGTAACCATAGTAACTATAGTAACCATAGTAACCGCAGTAACCAGAGTAACCATAGTAACAACAGTAGCCATAGTAACCACAGTAACCACAGTAACTATAGTAACCACAGTAACCACAGTAACTATAGTAACTATAGTAACTATAGTAACCACAGTAACCACAGTAACTATAGTAACTATAGTAACCATAGTAACAACAGTAGCCACAGTAACCATAGTAACTATAGTAACTATAATAACTATAGTAACTATAGTAACCATAGTAACTATAGTAACCATAGAAGCACTGACTAAGTAATCATGTCCATAGTAACGCTAACTAAGAAACCATAGTAGCACTGACTAAGTAACCATAGTAACACTGACTAAGTAACCAAATTAAGACTGACTAAGTAAAGTGGAAGTGAATTTCTTTGAACTGCTCCAAGAAATCAAAATTAAATGATGGTTCGCGCGCGGCTTTTCATTTTACATTTTACACGTGAACCTCACTTTATGCTTTGGCAAAGTTTTTGTTTTTAATTCTAAGCTAAGCTAATTTTCATCCCCCATTTTCACAACAAAATTAATTGAACAACTTTGAGTTTAATTAATTTTTGAATTTCACTCTTTGAATGAGAATATGCATAAAAATAGCTACAAATTTTGTTATTAAATATGTTTCAACAACTCAATAGTCCTTCTACTTTCGGTACAAAAAGTGATTTTTGTGTATCAATTTATAATTACTTTATAAACCAATTGAAACACAGTCTGTTATATTTTACGCTATAGAACAAACAATACTTAAAATTAAAATCACGTTTATTGCAGGAATATCTTGATAGTTTCCATGGTAACCAAAAGATATCTTGATATTATTACTATTCTTTGTAGAATGGAAACTTGTCACGACCTGAAAAAAACAATATATATAAGCACATAAATAGTTACCATAGTAATATATGCAGTTACCATAGTGATGTATAGTAACACTAACCCAGTTTCTATAGTTTAATACCAGATAACGCTTTATAATGCACCTGTTAGTCTATTGCTCCACAACCGCGGACTGCAGGCGGTATGACGTTAAAATTAGATCGTGTTCTACAAAAGCTCAGTAACTGGAGATTGGGCCAAAAATATCCACCGTTAATTGCACCCCCCCCCCCCCCCCACTCACCATTAACTCGATATTAACCTCACATTATCTCAAATACAATAAATTGCTAGTTGCTACGAAGTAGTGGGAAGAACTTTATGAATGTTCTTAGTTCATTACCAATCTACACTAGCTTTAAAAGTAGCTCCCCCCCCCCCTCCGTGATGCCCATATAAGGAGATGAAGCTCTCCCCACGTGATGCCCATATGAGGAGATGAAGCTCTCCCCACGTGATGCCCATATAAGGAGATGAAGCTCTCCCCACGTGATGCCCTTATTAGGAGATGGAGCACTAATAATGAAATTACTCACTGCATCGTCCAGGGTTAACGTAGTCCCATCTTTTGAAAAGGTTGGTTGTGAAGCACCACGGGGCTCGCTCGTTGTTACCCGGGTTTCTGCCGTAGTTATGGTCTCCTGCCCCGTTACCACGGTGATAACTCTGCAGATAAACATTTCGTTATTTTATGAAGGAGCCGCTTAGTCTCGTATTAAGTTCTCCTCCTAAATAAAGTTTAGCAAATAACAAATAAAATATTAAACTAACATGAGGATGGGGCCAGTCGCTCTGCCAGTTCTGGCAAGTGTAGCCTTGTTCAGTGCGGGCTAGAGTGCCCCTGTACTCAAACCCAGTACCAGTGTAGCACTCAAAGTCCCAAACTGAGGAAGGATCAAAGTGGTTAATTGTCTGCAAACTACCATATAAGGTAACGTCACCATAGTAACACTACTATACAAGGTAATGTAACCATAGTAACACCCCATATAAATTAAAACTGACCACACTTAGGAACAGAGCAGTATTAGATCATATTAAATAGTATTACATAGTAACACTACTGACCACACTTAAGAACAGAGCAGTATTAGATCATATTAAATAGTATTACATAGTAACACTACTGACCACACTTAGGAACAGAGCAGTATTAGATAATAGTAACACTACTGACCACACTTAGGAACAGAGCAGTATTAGATAATAGTAACACTACTGACCACACTTAGGAACAGAACAGTATTAGATAATAGTAACACTACTGACCACACTTAGGAACTGAGCAGTATTAGATAATAGTAACACTACTGACCACACTTAGGAACAGATCAGTATTAGATAATAGTAACACTACTGACCACACTTAGGAACAGAGCAGTATTAGATAATATTAGTGACTATATAAAGTAAAACTGACCACACTTAGGAACAGAGCAGTATTAAATAATATTAGTGACTATATAAAGTAAAACTTAGATAATAGTAACACTACTGACCACACTTAGGAACAGAGCAGTATTAGATAATATTAGTGACTATATAAAGTAAAACTGACCACACTTAGGAACAGAGCAGTATTAGATAATATTAGTGACTATATAAAGTAAAACTTAGATAATAGTAACACTACTGACCACACTTAGGAACAGAGCAGTATTAGATAATAGTAACACTACTGACCACACTTAGGAACAGAGCAGTATTAGATAATATTAGTGACTATATAAAGTAAAACTGACCACACTTAGGAACAGAGCAGTATTAGATAATATTAGTGACTATATAAAGTAAAACTTAGATAATAGTAACACTACTGACCACACTTAGGAACAGAGCAGTATTAGATAATATAGTAACACTACTGACCACACTTAGGAACAGAGCAGTATTAGATAATATTAAAATAATAGTAACACTACTGACCACACTTAGGAACAGAGCAGTATTCCCATTCCACGGCAGGGTCGTGTGTGTAGCACCACGGCTCGCTCTTCTGTTTAGGGTCAGGATTAGCACAGTACGTGCTATCTCCCGCTTCCGGGTGCTGAGTGTCCATCCAGTTCTTACACCTGCAGTGGAAGTGAGATTACATGGGGTTATAGTTGCTATAGCCAGTTCTTACACCTGCAGTGGAAGTGAGATTACATGGGGTTATAGTTGCTATAGCCAGTTCTTACACCTGCAGTGGAAGTTAGATTACATGGGGTTATAGTTGCTATATCCAGTTCTTACACCTGCAGTGGAAGTGAGATTACATGGGGTTATAGTTGCTATAGAGCTATAGCCAGTTCTTACACCTGCAGTGGAAGTTAGATTACATGGGGTTATAGTTGCTATAGCCAGTTCTTACACCTGCAGTGGAAGTGAGATTACATGGGGTTATAGTTGCTATAGCCAGTTCTTACACCTGCAGTGGAAGTTAGATTACACGGGGTTATAGTTGCTATAGCCAGTTCTTACACCTGCAGTGGAAGTTAGATTACATGGGGTTATAGTTGCTATAGCCAGTTCTTACACCTGCAGTGGAAGTGAGATTACATGGGGTTATAGTTGCTATATCCAGTTCTTACACCTGCAGTGGAAGTGAGATTACATGGGGTTATAGTTGCTATAGCCAGTTCTTACACCTGCAGTGGAAGTGAGATTACATGGGGTTATAGTTGCTATAGCCAGTTCTTACACCTGCAGTGGAAGTTAGATTACATGGGGTTATAGTTGCTATATCCAGTTCTTACACCTGCAGTGGAAGTGAGATTACATGGGGTTATAGTTGCTATATCCAGTTCTTACACCTGCAGTGGAAGTTAGATTACATGGGGTTATAGTTGCTATAGCCAGTTCTTACACCTGCAGTGGAAGTTAGATTACATGGGGTTATAGTTGCTATATCCAGTTCTTACACCTGCAGTGGAAGTGAGATTACATGGGGTTATAGTTGCTATAGCCAGTTCTTACACCTGCAGTGGAAGTTAGATTACATGGGGTTATAGTTGCTATAGCCAGTTCTTACACCTGCAGTGGAAGTGAGATTACATGGGGTTATAGTTGCTATAGCCAGTTCTTACACCTGCAGTGGAAGTGAGATTACATGGGGTTATAGTTGCTATATCCAGTTCTTACACCTGCAGTGGAAGTTAGATTACATGGGGTTATAGTTGCTATAGCCAGTTCTTACACCTGCAGTGGAAGTTAGATTACATGGGGTTATAGTTGCTATAGCCAGTTCTTACACCTGCAGTGGAAGTTAGATTACATGGGGTTATAGTTGCTATAGCCAGTTCTTACACCTGCAGTGGAAGTTAGATTACATGGGGTTATAGTTGCTATAGAGCTATAGCCAGTTCTTACACCTGCAGTGGAAGTTAGATTACATGGGGTTATAGTTGCTATAGCCAGTTCTTACACCTGCAGTGGAAGTTAGATTACATGGGGTTATAGTTGCTATATCCAGTTCTTACACCTGCAGTGGAAGTGAGATTACATGGGGTTATAGTTGCTATAGCCAGTTCTTACACCTGCAGTGGAAGTTAGATTACATGGGGTTATAGTTGCTATAGCCAGTTCTTACACCTGCAGTGGAAGTGAGATTACATGGGGTTATAGTTGCTATATCCAGTTCTTACACCTGCAGTGGAAGTGAGATTACATGGGGTTATAGTTGCTATAGCCAGTTCTTACACCTGCAGTGGAAGTGAGATTACATGGGGTTATAGTTGCTATATCCAGTTCTTACACCTGCAGTGGAAGTTAGATTACATGGGGTTATAGTTGCTATAGCCAGTTCTTACACCTGCAGTGGAAGTTAGATTACATGGGGTTATAGTTGCTATAGCCAGTTCTTACACCTGCAGTGGAAGTGAGATTACATGGGGTTATAGTTGCTATAGCCAGTTCTTACACCTGCAGTGGAAGTTAGATTACATGGGGTTATAGTTGCTATAGCCAGTTCTTACACCTGCAGTGGAAGTTAGATTACACGGGGTTATAGTTGCTATAGCCAGTTCTTACACCTGCAGTGGAAGTTAGATTACATGGGGTTATAGTTGCTATAGCCAGTTCTTACACCTGCAGTGGAAGTTAGATTACATGGGGTTATAGTTGCTATAGCCAGTTCTTACACCTGCAGTGGAAGTTAGATTACATGGGGTTATAGTTGCTATAGCCAGTTCTTACACCTGCAGTGGAAGTTAGATTACATGGGGTTATAGTTGCTATAGCCAGTTCTTACACCTGCAGTGGAAGTTAGATTACATGGGGTTATAGTTGCTATAGCCAGTTCTTACACCTGCAGTGGAAGTTAGATTACATGGGGTTATAGTTGCTATAGCCAGTTCTTACACCTGCAGTGGAAGTTAGATTACATGGGGTTATAGTTGCTATAGCCAGTTCTTACACCTGCAGTGGAAGTGAGATTACATGGGGTTATAGTTGCTATAGCCAGTTCTTACACCTGCAGTGGAAGTGAGATTACATGGGGTTATAGTTGCTATAGCCAGTTCTTACACCTGCAGTGGAAGTTAGATTACATGGGGTTATAGTTGCTATAGCCAGTTCTTACACCTGCAGTGGAAGTGAGATTACATGGGGTTATAGTTGCTATATCCAGTTCTTACACCTGCAGTGGAAGTGAGATTACATGGGGTTATAGTTGCTATAGCCAGTTCTTACACCTGCAGTGGAAGTTAGATTACATGGGGTTATAGTTGCTATAGCCAGTTCTTACACCTGCAGTGGAAGTTAGATTACATGGGGTTATAGTTGCTATAGCCAGTTCTTACACCTGCAGTGGAAGTGAGATTACATGGGGTTATAGTTGCTATAGCCAGTTCTTACACCTGCAGTGGAAGTTAGATTACATGGGGTTATAGTTGCTATAGCCAGTTCTTACACCTGCAGTGGAAGTGAGATTACATGGGGTTATAGTTGCTATATCCAGTTCTTACACCTGCAGTGGAAGTGAGATTACACGGGGTTATAGTTGCTATAGCCAGTTCTTACACCTGCAGTGGAAGTTAGATTACATGGGGTTATAGTTGCTATAGCCAGTTCTTACACCTGCAGTGGAAGTTAGATTACATGGGGTTATAGTTGCTATAGCCAGTTCTTACACCTGCAGTGGAAGTGAGATTACATGGGGTTATAGTTGCTATAGCCAGTTCTTACACCTGCAGTGGAAGTTAGATTACATGGGGTTATAGTTGCTATAGCCAGTTCTTACACCTGCAGTGGAAGTGAGATTACATGGGGTTATAGTTGCTATAGCCAGTTCTTACACCTGCAGTGGAAGTGAGATTACATGGGGTTATAGTTGCTATAGCCAGTTCTTACACCTGCAGTGGAAGTTAGATTACATGGGGTTATAGTTGCTATATCCAGTTCTTACACCTGCAGTGGAAGTGAGATTACATGGGGTTATAGTTGCTATATCCAGTTCTTACACCTGCAGTGGAAGTGAGATTACATGGGGTTATAGTTGCTATATCCAGTTCTTACACCTGCAGTGGAAGTGAGATTACATGGGGTTATAGTTGCTATATCCAGTTCTTACACCTGCAGTGGAAGTGAGATTACATGGGGTTATAGTTGCTATAGCAACTAGAGCATAGAGTATAGAATATAGTTGCTATAGCAACAAGAGTATTATAGAGTATGGATTATAGTTGATATAGCAACTAGAGCATAGAGTATAGAATATAGTTGCTATAGCAACAAGAGTATTATAGAGTATGGATTATAGTTGATATAGCAACTAGAGCATAGAGTATGGAATATAGTTGCTATAGCAACAAGAGTATTATAGAGTATGGATTATAGTTGATATAGCAACTAGAGCATAGAGTATAGAATATAGTTGCTATAGCAACAAGAGTATTATAGAGTATGGATTATAGTTGATATAGCAACTAGAGCATAGAGTATGGAATATAGTTGCTATAGCAACAAGAGTATTATAGAGTATGGATTATAGTTGCTATAGCAACTAGAGCATAGAGTATGGATTATAGTTGCTATAGCAACTAGAGTTTATAATATGGATTATAGTTGCTATAGCAACTAGAGCATAGAGTATGGATTATAGTAGCTATAGCAACAAGAGTATTATAGAGCATGGATTATAATTGCTATAGTAACTAAAGTATTAAGTGTCTGAGAGTTCCCTCACAGCTATGAAAAGCCACTCACCCGTGTCCGTTGATAGTGGCGTTGTAGAAACGTGTGGGAGCGAACTCTTCTCCTCTGTTTTCGTAGCAGAACGAGTCGTCAACTGAGAGGAGAAAGGGGGAGTGGTAAAGTTACCATAGTAACACTGCCTTTGTAACTATAGTTACACTGACTTTTTTACTGTTAAAGTAAAGCATTTTACATGTGATATTATTGAATCAAGGAGAAGATTCCCTCATACCAAATTATATTCTTAGATCAATCATCGACATAATATTTAACAATGTTCACTAATCAGACATAATATGTAACAATGTTTAATCAGACATAATATGTAACAATGTTTTATGATAATTATAAGTTTAACAAGACACACTAAATACTGTTAACTCACTGTCAGACTCCAAACTGAGCGGACTGAAAGAGAGCTGTCTGGTGACGTCATCAGTGACGTCATCAACCCTGAACGGGTAGGAGATCATCTCACATTTCAGGTACATTTTCTTGCCTGAACAGACCTTGAACTTGCCGGCCTTTACTTCAAGGGACTGAGCGGTGAAGGGCACTGATAGCTCTACATCGTAATAAGTCGTACAGTTACCCGTCATATTAGTGCCATCACACATCGTCATTATAGGTCCTGATCATAAAGTTACAGTTACTAGCTGGTTACTAGGTTACTATCTGGTAACTAGGTTCCTAGCTGGTTACTAGTTTAATATCTCGTAACTAGGTTACTATCTGGTTACTAGGTTACTATATGGTTACTAGGTTACTATCTGGTTACTAGGTTACTATCTGGTAACTAGGTTACTATCTGGTTACTAGGTTACTATATGGTTACTAGGTTACTATCTGGTTACTAGGTTACTATCTGGTTACTAGGTTACTATCTGGTTACTAGGTTACTATCTGGTTACTAGGTTACTATCTGGTTACTAGGTTACTATCTGGTTACTAGGTTACTATCTGGTTACTAGGTTACTATCTGGTTACTAGGTTACTATCTGGTTACTAGGTTACTTACCGATACAGTCGGTGGGGTGAATGGAGCCAGTAGATCTGGTCCAGTGTTTTACAGGGCACTGAAGACACTTTCTCTGTCTTCTGATCGGGTTGAAGAAGCCCTGGAGACAATATTATTTAATCTGAACTATACAAAATGTAGTTTAAAACTTTCTAAATCTGTGTTGAGTGTCTCTGAATCTGTGTTGAGTGTCTGTGAATCTGTGTTGTTGTGTTACAGTGGCGTAACACTGGTGTGTTGTGTGTGTTACAGTGGCGTAACACTGGTGTGTTGTGTGTGTTACATTGGCGTAACACTGGTGTGTTGAGTGTGTTACAGTGGCGTAACACTGGTGTGTTGTGTGTTACAGTGGCGTAACACTGGTGTGTTGTGTGTGTTACAGTGGCGTAACACTGGTATGTTGTGTGTGTTACAGTGGCGTAACACTGGTGTGTTGTGTGTGTTTTGTGTGTTACAGTGTAACAGTGGCGTAACACTGGTGTGTTGTGTGTGTTACAGTGGCGTAACACGTTGTTGTTGTATAACCCACCATAGCACAAGGCGTACACTCAGGAGACTCTACAGTGTCTGTGAAGGTTCCCTGAGAACACTCGTCACAATCATTAGTCTCCGAGTTTCTATGGTAACCGATAGGGCACTGCTCCCCTGCAAAAGTGGGTTACACTATTTTGTAAAAATGTATAAAAATTTAAAGTTAAGCTAAACGTTAACTAAGTTGAAAAACAAACAGTTCTCGCTGTGCAAAATTGGAGTCTAATAAAATCCCTCATAAAAGGAAGGGGGAGGGGGTGCTTCATTCAATACTAACAATAACACTGGGGGAGGGGGAGGGGGGGTTACATTCAATACTTACAATAACACTTTTCTATTCCGGTCGTTCCTTCAGCTGATGTAGTCTTCCCATCAGGACAAGGAGAGCAGGTGTTACCTCCTGATATAGTTACCATGGTTACCGCTGATATAAATCAGTGGTTATACAAGTTTATAAACTAACGTTTTATGGTTAAATCAGGTCTTCTTTTAACTTTTTCATAAACAAACCCTGCTTATTTTGGTACGTTCCATTCGGGCAGGACACACAGTTACTAGCTGGTTACTAGCTGGTTACTAGCTGGTTACTTGCTGGTTACTAGGTAACTAGCTGGTTACTAGCTGGTTACTAGGTTACTAGCTGGTTACTAGGTTACTAACCCTGCTTATTTTGGTACGTTCCTCTCGGACAGGACACACAGTTATCACTTCCTTCTGAGTCAGTGTAGGTTCCCTCCGGACAAATCTTACACTCAGTCGCTCCTGCTTTAGGCTGAAATTATATTATATAGCTGGAATAGAGCGATAGACCTGCTGTCAGTCTAACAAACACTGGTAGTTAGTACTAAGAATACTTGTTCGTATCCCTGAGCACAAGCATCACACCCCTTATAATACCTGTTCGTATCCCTGAGGACAAGCATCACACCCCTTATAATACCTGTTCGTACCCCTGAGGACAAGCATCACACCCCTTATAATACCTGTTCGTATCCCTGAGGACAAGCATCACACCCCTTATAATACCTGTTCGTATCCCTGAGGACAAGCATCACACCCCTTATAATACCTGTTCGTACCCCTGAGGACAAGCATCACACCCCTTATAATACCTGTTCGTATCCCTGAGGACAAGCACCACACCCCTTATAATACCTGTTCGTATCCCTGAGGACAAGCATCACACCCCTTATAATACCTGTTCGTATCCTGAGGACAAGCATCACACCCCTTATAATACCTGTTCGTACCCCTGAGGACAAGCACTACACCCCTTATAATACCTGTTCGTATCCCTGAGGACAAGCATCACACCCCTTATAATACGTGTTCGTATCCCTGAGCACAAGCATCACACCCCTCATAATACCTGTTCGTACCCCTGAGGACAAGCATCACACCCCTTATAATACGTGTTCGTATCCCTGAGCACAAGCATCACACCCCTTATAATACCTGTTCGTACCCCTGAGGACAAGCAACACACCCCTTATAATACCTGTTCGTATCCCTGAGGACAAGCACTACACCCCTTATAATACCTGTTCGTACCCCTGAGGACAAGCACCACACCCCTTATATTACCTGTTCGTATCCCTGAGGACAAGCATCACACCCCTTATAATACCTGTTCGTACCCCTGAGGACAAGCATCACACCCCTTATAATACCTGTTCGTACCCCTGAGGACAAGCAACACACCCCTTATAATACCTGTTCGTATCCCTGAGGACAAGCACTACACCCCTTATAATACCTGTTCGTACCCCTGAGGACAAGCATCACACCCCTTATAATACCTGTTCGTATCCTGAGGACAAGCATCACACCCCTTATATTACCTGTTCGTACCCCTGAGGACAAGCATCACACCCCTTATAATACCTGTTCGTACCCCTGAGGACAAGCACCACACCCCTTATAATACCTGTTCGTATCCCTGAGGACAAGCATCACACCCCTTATAATACCTGTTCGTACCCCTGAGGACAAGCATTACACCCCTTATAATACCTGTTCGTACCCCTGAGGACAAGCATCACACCCCTTATAATACCTGTTCGTATCCCTGAGGACAAGCATCACACCCCTTATAATACCTGTTCGTACCCCTGAGCACAAGCATCACACCCCTTATAATACCTGTTCGTACCCCTGAGGACAAGCATCACACCCCTTATAATACCTGTTCGTATCCCTGAGCACAAGCACCACACCCCTTATAATACCTGTTCGTATCCCTGAGCACAAGCATCACACCCCTTATAATACCTGTTCGTACCCCTGAGGACAAGCATTACACCCCTTATAATACCTGTTCGTACCCCTGAGGACAAGCATCACACCCCTTATAATACCTGTTCGTATCCCTGAGGACAAGCATCACACCCCTTATAATACCTGTTCGTATCCCTGAGGACAAGCACTACACCCCTTATAATACCTGTTCGTATCCCTGAGGACAAGCATCACACCCCTTATAATACCTGTTCGTATCCCTGAGGACAAGCACCACACCCCTTATAATACCTGTTCGTACCCCTGAGGACAAGCATCACACCCCTTATAATACCTGTTCGTACTCCTGAGGACAAGCATCACACCCCTTATAATACCTGTTCGTATCCCTGAGGACAAGCATCACACCCCTTATAATACCTGTTCGTATCCCTGAGCACAAGCATCACACCCCTTATAATACCTGTTCGTATCCCTGAGGACAAGCATCACATCCCTCAGCTCCGGAGATATCCACAACATGACCCGGAGAACAGAGACTGCACTCAGGTGTGCCGGGGTTGTCGGAGAAGGCACCGGGCTCACACATGTCACAAGCAAGACTCGCGTTCTGGGGGGCGTCGTACCTGGTGTTTAATTAAATGATTAAGTAACGTAATTGCTAGTTTGTGTATTATATAACACTAGCAGGAACCCTTTTCTAACCCTAGAGTGGTGTCAAGACTCAAGAGACTAAAATAATTATTACCTATTTAATTCGAGTTTTGATACCACTTGGGGGTCCACATTTTTGGCACTAAAATTCTTATTCCTTGGCCAATTTTTTATTATTCGTACTGATTTGAAGGCCATCAAAGAATTTGAACCAGTCAAAAATTGTAAGTTGTATATCTTTGGCATTTAATTTCATGATTGAAAAATAACAAACAATACCCTCACTCACCCCACACCACACAGTTGACACTGGCTGGCCCCGGTAATATTGTTAAAGGAGCCAGGAGCACAAGGAGCACACAGAGTCCTCTCCACAGAGTAATAACCCGGAGTACACTGAGTGCACTGAGCGAGCCCATCCTCCCCAGCAACACTCCCCCCTCCACACTCTGTACACTCAGCAGCTCCACTCTCTCCAGACACCGACCCAGCCGGACAGTGTGTACAGGAGGTTGCTATCTCGTACGGGTTAAACTGACCAGGGGAGCACTCCGTACACTTCACTGATCCTGGAGGAGGGGGAAGACTGGTTACAAGTGGTAAATAAAGTGGTATATAGACAGATAGAGGGGGAGTCAGGTTACAAGTGGTAAATAGACTGGTAAATAGACAGTAACAAAGAGGAACTGAGGAGAAATGAGAACTGAGTATGTGAGCAGAAAGTGTGTAAAGTGTAAACCAGTTTCATTAGCAAAGGAGCCAGGTTGGCAAGCAGCGCAGAGAGCCGTCCCATTTGCAGGAGCTTCAAACCCAACCTTACACTCCAAACACTTGGTAGATCCCTTGAAGTTAACATAGTGTCCGGGAGCACAGAGGTCGCACTGTCCGGTCCCCCAGTACTCAGCATAGGACCCAGGCCTCACAACTCAGACACTCCGTATTACCCTCTCCTGAGGCGAACCTGCCGGGTTCACAGAGAGAGCACTTGGAGCGGGAGGAGGTGGAGGTGGAGTAGGAACCAGCAGAACAGAGGGTGCAGTTACCCGCCCCTGACTGGGAGAAGGAGCCTGCAGCGCACTCCCCGCACTTCAGGTTACCTTCCCCTCCGGCGTACTGCCCTCCTTTACATACGTTACAGCTAGTCTGCCCTTCGTTACCTTGGGAGGATCCCTCAGCGCAGGGGATGCAATCTAGTGCTCCTGTTAGGGTAATAGGTTGTTAGGGAATAGGTTGTTAGGGTGACAGGTTGTTAGGGGTCAGGTTGTTAGGGTGATATGTTGTTAGGGGATAGGTTGTTATGGGATAGGTTGTTAGGGTGACAGGTTGTTAGGGGTCAGATTGCTAGGGAATATGTTGTTAGGGTGACAGGTTGTTAGGGTGACAGGTTGTTAGGGTGATAGGTTGTTAGAACTTTAGAATGATAGGTTGTTAGGGGTCAGGTTGTTAGGGTGACAGGTTGTTAGGGTGACAGTTTGTAAGGTTGAAAATATAAAAATATCACTAACCATCTTTGTTGCTGAAGGAGCCAGGTTCACACACATTACACTCTGTAGCCCCCTCCTTACCCTGAGCAGTCCCTGCTTGGCAGATCTTACACTCCTTCTGCTTGGGGTAGGGCTGGTACCAACCTCCCTGACACACCGTGCAGAAGGACTTTCCTGAAGGTGACAGGTTGTTAGGGTAACATGTCGTTAGGGTAACAGGTTGTTAGGGTGACAGGTTGTTAGGGTGACATGTTGTCAGGGTGACAGGTTGTTAGGACGAAACCAGCCGGACACTGAGAACACCTAATGCTGGTTACTAGCTGGTTACTAGGTTACAAACTGGTTACTAGGTTACTAACCTGCTTGGTTGGAGAAGGAACCAGCGGGACACTGGGAACACCTAGTGCTACCCTCAGTGGGTGAGTACTGGCCTGGTTGACAGATGTAGCAGGAGTCCTGAGCAGGGAGACTTTGAGCGTGTCCAGCTGGACACGGGGAACACTCTGACTGTCCTGACAAGGGAGGGGTTAGTGTGGTAGAAGTAAGGGGTTAGGGGGAGGGGTTAGTGTGGTAGAAGTAAGAGGGTTAGGGGGAGGGGTTAGTGTGGTAGAAGTAAGAGGTTAGGGGGAGGGGTTAGTGTGGTAGAAGTAAGGGGTGAGGGGAGGGGTTAGTGTGGTAGAAGTAAGAGGTTAGGGGGAGGGGTTAGTGTGGTAGAAGTAAGGGGTGAGGGGGAGGGGTTAGTGTGGTAGAAGTAAGAGGGTTAGGGGGAGGGGTTAGTGTGGTAGAAGTAAGGGGTGAGGGGGAGGGGTTAGTGTGGTAGAAGTAAGGGGTGAGGGAGGGGTTAGTGGGGTAAAGTAATTAAAGGGGAAAGGGGTTTTAGTTGGTAAATAAGGGTTAGGGGGGGGGGTTTTGTGTGGTGAAGAAGGGTTGGGGGGAGGGGTTAGGGGGGGAGAAGTAAGGGTTAGGGGGGGGGGTTTTTGTGGGGTAAAAGGGAAAGGGTTGGGGGGAGGGGTTGTGTGGTAGAAAAAAGGGGGGAGGGGGGGGTTTTAGTGGGGTAAATTTAAGAGGTTAGGGGGGGGGGTTTTGTGGGGAAAAGGGGAAGGGTGAGGGGGGGGTTAGTGGGGGAAAGAAAAGGGTTTTGGGGGGGGGTTATTGGGGTAAAAATTTTAAGGGGGGGGGGGGGTTTTAGTGTTTAAAGAAAGGGGGTGAGGGGGGGTTTTTTGGGGTTTGAAGAAAGGGTTTGGGGGGGGGTTTTTAGTGGGGTAGAAAAGGGGTTAGGGGGAGGGGGGGGGGGTAAAGTAAGGGGTAGGGGGGGGGGTTAGGGGGTAAAAGGGAAGGGTTTTTGGGGGGAAGGGGTGATGTGGGGGGAAGTGGGGTTGGGGGGGGAGGGTTGAAGAAAGGGGGGAGGGGGGGGGGAGTGTGGAGGGGGGGGAGGGGGGGGTTATTTTGGTAGAAAAAGGGTAGGGGGGGTTGGGGTGGTAGAAGAAGGGGTTGAGGGGAGGGGGTAGGTGGGAAAGGGTTAAGGTTTTTTGAGGGGTGGGGGGGGTTTTTTGGTAAGGGGGGGTTGAGGGGAGGGTGGGTGAGGTGGGGTAGTAGAAGGGGGGTGGGGGGGGGTGGGGGGGTCGGTTGGGGGTGGGGGGGTGGGGGGTTGAAGGGGGGTGGGGTGGGGGGGGGGTGTAGGTTAGGGTGTGGGGAGGGGTGGGGGGATGGAATGGGGTGGGAGGGGTGGGGGGGTGGAATGTGGGTGGGTGGGAGGGGGTGGGTGGAGGTGTTGGGTGGGGGGGAGGCGGTTGGGGTTGGGGTGGGGGGGGGGGGGGTTGTGGGGGTGGGGGGTGTGGGTGGGGGGGGGGGGGGGGGGGGTGGGGGGGGGGGGGGGGGGGGGGGGGGGGGGGGGGGGGGGGGGGGGGGGGGGGGGGGGGGGGGGGGGGGGGGGGGGGGGGGGGGGGGGGGGGGGGGGGGGGGGGGGGGGGGGGGGGGGGGGGGGGGGGGGGGGGGGGGGGGGGGGGGGGGGGGGGGGGGGGGGGGGGGGGGGGGGGGGGGGGGGGGGGGGGGGGGGGGGGGGGGGGGGGGGGGGGGGGGGGGGGGGGGGGGGGGGGGGGGGGGGGGGGGGGGGGGGGGGGGGGGGGGGGGGGGGGGGGGGGGGGGGGGGGGGGGGGGGGGGGGGGGGGGGGGGGGGGGGGTGGGGGGGGGGGGGGGGGGGGGGGGGGGGGGGGGGGGGGGGGGGGGGGGGTGGGGGGGGGGGGGGGGGGGGGGGGGGGGGGGGGGGGGGGGGGGGGGGGGGGGGGGGGGGGGGGGGGGGGGGGGGGGGGGGGGGGGGGGGGGGGGTGGGGGGGGGGGGGGGGGGGGGGGGGGGGGGGGGGGGGGGGGGGGGGGGGGGGGGGGGGGGGTGGGGGGGGTTGGGAGGGGGGGGTGGGGGGGGGGGGTGTTTGGTGGTGGGGTGGGGGTTGATGTTGGTTGATGGGGTGGGGGGGGGGTGTTGTTGGGTGGTGGGTGGGGGTGGTTGGTTGGGTGGGGTGGGGGGGGTGGTGTTGGTGGTGTGGGGGTGGGGGGTATGATGGGGTGGGGGTGTGGGTTTGGAAGGGTTGGAGGGTAGGGGGTGTAGATGTGTAGGGTGGGGTGTGGGGGTTTGTTGGGGTGGGTGGGGGGTGTGTAGTGGTTGGGGGGTGGGTGGGTGGGGGGTTGTTGGATGGGGGTGGGGTATGGGTGTGGTGGGGGTGTTGGTTGTGGGTGGGGTGGGGGTTGTGTTTATGGCTTATGGGTGGTGGGGGGTAGGTAAAGGTTGGGGGGGGGGTTTAATGGGGGAAGTAAAAAGGGGGGGAGGGGGGGGGGGGTTAAAGAAAAGGGGGGGGGGGAGGGGGGTGGGGGGTAAAAGGGGGGGGAGGGTTGTGGGTTAAAAGGAAAGGGGGTTTAGGGGGAGGTTAGTGGGAGAAAAAAGGTTGGGGGGGGGGTAGGGGGTAGAGAAAGGGTTAGGGGGGGGGTTTTAGGGGGAAAAAAAGAATTTGGGTTGGGGGGAGGTTTAGTGTGGTAGGGGGAAGGGTTTAGGGGGGGGGGTTTAAATGTTAAATTTAAGGGTTTAGGGGGGGGGGTTATGTGGAAAAGAAAAGGGGGGGGGGAGGGGTTATGGGGAAAGGGGGTAGGGGGGGGGGTTTAGTTTTGGTAGAAGAAAGGGGTTTTGGGGGGGGGTTTTAGTGTGGTAGAAGAAAGGGGGGTGAGGGGGGGGTTAGTGGGGTAAAGAAAGGGGTTAGGGGGGGGGGGGTTATGTGGTAAAGAAGGGGGGGTGAGGGGGGGGGGTTATGGGGAAAAGAAGTAAGGGTTAGGGGGAGGGGTTAGTGGGGTAAAGAAAGGGGGTTTTGGGGGGGGGGTTAGTGGGTAGAAGAAGGGTAGGGGGGGGTTAGTGGGGTAGAAAAGGGGGAGGGGAGGGGTTAGGGGTGGAAAAGTAAGGGGGGGGAGGGGGGGGGGGTTTAAGGGGGGTTTTTTGGTAGAAGTAAGGGGAGGGGGGGGGTTTTAGTGGGGTAAGGGGTAGGAAGGAGGGGTTTAGGGGGGAAAAAGTAAGGGGTTTGGGGAGGGGTTATGTTAGAATAGGGTTGGGGGGGGTTAGTTTTTGGGTGGGGGGGTGGGGGTTAAAGGGGGGGGTTTGGGGGTTGTAGGAAAAAAGGGGTCAGGGGGGGTTAGTGTGGAGAAAAGGGGTTAGGGGGAGGGGTTAGTGTGGTAGAAGTAAGTGGTTAGGGGGAGGGGTTAGTGTGGTAGAAGTAAGGGGTGAGGGGAGGGGTTAGTGTGGTAGGAGTAAGTGGTTAGGGGGAGGGGTTAGTGTGGTAGAAGTAAGTGGTTAGGGGGAGGGGTTAGTGTGGTAGAGTAAGAGGTTAGGGGAGGGGTTAAGTGGGGTGAAGAAAGGGGGTGAGGGGAGGGGTTAGTGTGGAAAGGAGTAAGTGGTTAGGGGGGGGGTTATTTGGGTAGAAGTAAGGGGTTAGGGGGGGGGTTTATGTGGTAAAAAAAGGGGTTAGGGGGGGGGTTTTGGGTTGGAAAGAAAGTGGTTAGGGGGGGTTAGGGGTGGTGGGAGTAAGGGGTTAGGGGGGGGTTTAGGGGGGTAAAAATAAGTGGTTGGGGGGAAGGGGGTTAGTGTGTAAGAAAAGGGGTTAGGGAGGGGTTAGGGGGGGAGAAAAAGGGGTTTGGGGGAGGGTTTTAAAGTGGGAAAAATTTTTGGGTAGGGGGGGTTAGGGGGGTAAAAGAAGGGGGGGAGGGGGGGGGGTTTAGTGTTTTGGGGAGGGGTTTTATCAATACCCCCCTTTGCCAGAAATGGACCCGGGACCCACAGGCAGAGAAACTTTAGAGACCCTTTCCCAGTTGCCGGGGGGTACCAAAGAGCAGGGGTTGCGGGATAGGCTCCCCCCTGCCCAATTTAAACTGCCCGCGGGACACAATGTGCAATTAGAGGAACCTGCGAAGTGTGGTGTTAGTGTGGTGTTAGTGTGGTTTAGTGGGTTTAGGGGTGTTAGTGTGGGTTAGTGGGGGTTTTAAGTTTGGTGTTATGTGGGTTATGTGGTGTTAGGGGGTTTGGGTTGTGTGAGGGGAGTGTGGGGGAAAGTGGGTGTTAGTGTGGTGTTAGTGTGGTGTTAGTGTGGTGTTAGTGTGGTGTTAGGTGGTTTTTAATGTGGTTTTAAGGGGGGTGTTTAGTGGGGGTTTATGGGGGTGTTAGTGGGGTTTAGGGGGGGTTTAGTGGGGTGTTAGGGTGTTAGTGTGGTGTTTAGGGTAGGTTATGTGGTGTTTTTGTGGTGTTATGTGGGGTTAGTGTGGTGGGTGGTGTGGTTTAGGGGGTGTTTTAGTGGGGGTTAGGGGGGTTTTTGGGGGGGGTTTGTTGGGTGTGGTGTTAGTGTGTGGGGAGGGGTGGTGTTAGGGGGGGGGAGGGGGGGTTTGGGGGTGTTGGGGTGGGGTTGTTTGTGGTGGGGGGTTTGTGTGGTGGGGTGTGGGGGTTTAGGGGGGTTTAGGGGGGGTGAGGTGATTTTAGTGTGGGGGGGGAGGGGGGGGGTTGGGGTGGGGGTTAGTGGGGGGTTAGGGGGGGGGTTTTAGTGGGGGGGGTTGGGTGGGGGTAGTGGGGGGAGGGGGGTTTGGGGGGGGTTTGGGGGGGGGTTTTGGTGGTGGTGGGGGTGGGGTGGGGGGGGGTGGGTTTTTCCGTGACTACTTTTAACTTATGCACCGAGACATAGATCTCATCTCCATGACTTTTTAATCGTATTTAAATTATTATATTCGATTTTTTTTCTTTCGAGAAATTGTAACACGGTTAATTTTTAAGATTTTATTTTTATAGCATTCTCTCGATTTTTAGAGTTCTGATCGTCTTTATGAATTGCTGTATTAAATTCCTGTTTAATTCCTGTTTAATTCCTGTTTAATTCCTGTTTAATTCCTGTTTAATTCCATACCTGCGTAACCATGGTAACAGAGCACTAACCGTCTTCAGAAGAAAAGGAGCCTGCAGAGCACTTGTTGCAGTGGTCCATACCGTCACTACCAGAGAAGGAACCTTTGGAACATTCTTTACATTTGAGGTTCCCTTCCCCGTACGCAAAAGTACCAGCAGAGCAAGCAGCGCACTTCGTGGAGCCTGGTGTAGGGGGAGGGTTATTACCTTATTTGGGCATCACGTGGAGCCTGGTGTAAGGGGAGGGATATTACCTTATTTGGGCATCACGTGGACCCTGGTGTAGGGGGAGGGTTATTACCTTATTTGGGCATCACGTGGAGCCTGGTGTAGGGGGAGGGTTATTACCTTATTTGGGCATCACGTGGAGCCTGGTGTAGGGGGAGGGTTATTACCTTATTTGGGCATCACGTGGACCCTGGTGTAGGGGGAGGGTTATCACCTTATTTGGGTATCACGTGGAGCCTGGTGTAGGGGGAGGGTTATTACCTTATTTGGGCATCACGTGGACCCTGGTGTAGGGGGAGGGTTATTACCTTATTTGGGCATCACGTGGACCCTGGTGTAGGGGGAGGGTTATTACCTTATTTGGGCATCACGTGGACCCTGGTGTAGGGGGAGGGTTATTACCTTATTTGGTCATCACGTGGACCCTGGTGTAGGGGGAGGGTTATTACCTTATTTGGGCATCACGTGGACCCTGGTGTAGGGGGAGGGTTATTACCTTATTTGGGTATCACGTGGAGCCTGGTGTAGGGGGAGGGTTATTACCTTATTTGGGCATCACGTGGACCCTGGTGTAGGGGGAGGGTTATTACCTTATTTGGGCATCACGTGGACCCTGGTGTAGGGGGAGGGTTATTACCTTATTTGGGCATCACGTGGACCCTGGTGTAGGGGGAGGGTTATTACCTTATTTGGTCATCACGTGGACCCTGGTGTAGGGGGAGGGTTATTACCTTATTTGGGCATCACGTGGACCGTGGTGTAGGGGGAGGGTTATTACCTTATTTGGTCATCACGTGGACCCTGGTGTAGGGGGAGGGTTATTACCTTATTTGGGCATCACGTGGACCCTGGTGTAGGAGAAGGGTTATTACCTTATTTGGGTATCACGTGGACCCTGGTGTAGGGGAAGGGTTATTACCTTATTTGGGCATCACGTGGACCGTGGTGTAGGGGGAGGGTTATTACCTTATTTGGGCATCACGTGGACCCTGGTGTAGGGGGAGGGTTATTACCTTATTTGGGTATCACGTGGACCCTGGTGTAGGGGGAGGGTTATTACCTTATTTGGGCATCACGTGGACCGTGGTGTAGGGGGAGGGTTATTACCTTATTTGGGTATCACGTGGACCCTGGTGTAGGGGGAGGGTTATTACCTTATTTGGGCATCACGTGGACCGTGGTGTAGGGGGAGGGTTATTACCTTATTTGGGTATCACGTGGACCGTGGTGTAGGGGGAGGGTTATTACCTTATTTGGGCATCACGTGGACCCTGGTGTAGGGGGAGGGATATTACCTTATTTGGGCATCACGTGGACCCTGGTGTAGGGGGAGGGTTATTACCTTATTTGGTTACGTAATTCAGTTAGAAAAGAATTGAACTGATACATCTCTTAGATAAAAACGATTGATAAACCCGTAAATAGGAGTGTAACCATGATAAAAGGAGTGTAACCATGATAACAGGAGTGTAACCATGGTAACGGAGCACTAACCTTCCACTTCAGCAACAGTACCAGCTTGACAATCTACACACTTATCAGCAGCATCACTCTCAGAGTATTGGCCGGCCGGACAAGGAACACACTCTGTATTACCAGTGCCTGGTGCAAAACTTCCTGCACTGCACGCTATACAGGTCCCGGAACCTGGGGTGAAATGTAAATTTTTTTCAAGGTAAGTTTGACTCCTAATTAATGATGAACACCAAGTTTACTAACACTAACACAACAAAGATAAAGGTAAAACCATGATAACAGGAGTGTAACCATGGTAACAAGTAAAACAACGTACCGTCCTGGTCGTTGTAATGTCCGGGTTTGCACTCTAAACACTCGTCAGCCCCCTGTTCAGAGTAGAAACCAGCCCCGCAAACCTCGCACATAGCAGCTCCAGCTTTAGGGGCCGCACTTCCTGCTGCACATAGGTCACACCCTGTAGAGCCTGAGGGGGAGGTTAGAGTTAGGGCCGCACTTCCTGCTGCACATGGGTCACACCCTCTAGAGCCTGAGGGGGAGAGTTAGAGTTAGGGGCCGCACTTCCTGCTGCACATGGGTCACACCCTGTAGAGCCTGAGGGGGAGGGTTACAGTTAGGGGCCGCACTTCCTGCTGCATATAGGTCACACCCTGTAGAGCCTGAGGGGGAGGTTAGAGTTAGGGGCCGCACTTCCTGCTGCACATGGGTCACACCCTGTAGAGCCTGAGGGGGAGGGTTAGAGTTAGGGGCCGCACTTCCCGCTGCACATGGGTCACACCCTGTAGAGCCTGAGGGGGAGGTTAGAGTTAGGGGCCGCACTTTCTGCTGCACATAGGTCACACCCTGTAGAGCCTGAGGGGGAGGTTAGAGTTAGGGGCCGCACTTCCTGCTGCACATAGGTCACACCCTGTAGAGCCTGAGGGGGAGGTTAGAGTTAGGGGCCGCACTTCCTGCTGCACATAGGTCACACCCAGTAGAGCCTGAGGGGGAGGTTAGAGTTAGGGGCCGCACTTCCTGCTGCACATGGGTCACACCCTGTAGAGCCTGAGGGGGAGGGTTAGAGTTAGGGGCCGCACTTCCTGCTGCACATGGGTCACACCCTGTAGAGCCTGAGGGGGAGGGTTAGAGTTAGGGGCCTGGGAGGGGGGAGGGTTAGAGTTAGGGGCCTGGGAGGGGGAGGGTTAGAGTTAGGGGCCTGGGAGGGGGGAGGGTTAGAGTTAGGGGCCTGGGAGGGGGGGAGGGTTAGAGTTAGGGGCCTGGGAGGGGGAGGGTTAGAGTCCTGGGAGGGGGAGGGTTAGAGTTAGGGGCCTGGGAGGGGGGAGGGTCAGAGTTAGGGGCCTGGGAGGGGGAGGGTTAGAGTTAGGGGCCTGGGGGGGGGGAGGGTTAGAGTTAGGGGCCTGGGAGGTGGGAGGGTTAGAGTTAGGGGCCTGGGAGGGGGAGGGTTAGAGACTTAACTTATCTAATTGAATATATGATCATCTAATAAATTAATGCTAGATAATAACCACAACTACCTTCGTCGTCATTGAAAGACCCAGCAGGACAGAGATAACACTGTCCCTGTCCCTCCTTGTCAGTGTAGGATCCAGCCGGACATTTCACGCAGTACCCAGACCCTTGCTGGGAGAATGTTCCTGCTGGACACGCCTCACACTTCTCCGCTCCTACTTTGTTCTGAGGAAAAAGAGTTTAGTGGGTAAAAGTATAAATCATCATTTCACCCAATAGTCCCTATATTATTATCTGAGGAAAATGAGGAGACTTTAGTGGGTGAAAGTACAAATCATCATTTCACCCATTAGTCCCTATATTATTAGGCTAGAAGTCCCTTTTACAGGCGAGAGGATCCAGTTAACAAAGTCACTCTGAAAATAAGAAAAACAGGGGATAAAGAAGATAATATGCACCTGGATTACCTGGAAGTAGCCGGCGGGACACTTGTCGCACATTACCTGGAAGTAGCCGGCGGGACACTTGTCGCACATTACCTGGAAGTAGCCGGCGGGACACTTGTCGCACATTACCTGGAAGTAGCCGGCGGGACACTTGTCGCACATTACCTGGAAGTAGCCGGCGGGACACTTGTCGCACGTAGCCTGTCCCTCCTGGCCCTGGTGCTCGCCCACCAGACACTTAGGGCACTGCAAACTCCCCTCCACCTCAGCAGCTGAGCCCTTCTGACACGGCTCACAGTCGTCATATCCCGGCTTCTGGCGGTAGTGGCCGACAGGACAGGACTTGCAGTAAGTAGCCCCGGTGAAGTCTATAAAGGATCCGGGGGGACAAGGATCACATTCCGCTACTCCGTGATCTGAGTAGTGACCTGGCGACAGAAAATTAAAATTACTAAAGTCCTTTTTTACAAGTTACACGTCCCGGTTACAAAAGTTTTCTAAAATCTGGTTACTATATTTTTTCTACGTTTTGGGACTAAAAAGTTAAATACAAACTGGGTTTTTTAAAAGTTTTCTAATATGGGGGCTAAAATTACTACATCCGGTTTTTTGTGTTACACATCGGGTTTCTATAATACACCCGGGGACTGGAGGGTTTCAAAAATGGTTTTATAGTTTTTCCCACATCTGGTTAACCCCTGAAACTGAGTAGGGACCCCGGGGACAGAAAATTACAACCTTTTTTCAATTTAAAAAATTAAATTTTTAAAGGTCCCTTTAAAAATTTTTCTAAACCCTTTCCCAGAATTTTAAAAAAATACGGGAAAAAATAAATAAAAACCCATTTAAAAAAATAAATAAATATCTAGTAAATAAACGGTTAGTGGTTCTAGATCTCTTATCTTCACTTAATAACATGCTTTACAAGTTTACCCGAAAACGCACTAAATAGTACTGAAAAATAAAATTTTTTTAAATGACCTTTTTGGCACTTTTGGCACTTGTGGGAAGTTGGACTTATTCTCCGGGCCCTTTCCTTGGTGCTGGAAGAGGAACCCGACTGGGCTGTACTGAACCCCCCGGGCACGGCCCAAAAATTCTCGTCACCGGGACGTGCAATGGTTTAAATTAATTTTAAAACCCCCGGCAAATTTTCAAAAAGGTTTAATTGATTTTCAAAACCCCAAAGCCCCAAAGTGCAATGTTAAATTTTTTAAAAACCGAAGGCAAAGTTAATTGATAACAAACCCTGAAACTTTTGGGGAATGTTAATTTTTTAAAAAACCCGCACGGCAAAGGTAATTTGATTTTTTAAACAAACCTGCACGTGCAATATTAATTGATTACAAACCAGCACGTGCGATGCTATTTGATTAAAAACATGCACGTTAAAATTTCAATGTTAATTGCACGTTGAAGGTTATTCATTAGTTAATATACAAAATTGCACATGCAAAGTCAGTATGTAAATAAACTAATTGCACGTGTGTTATTGTAAATAAATATTAAATAGCCACATTTAGCAAAGAATTTACCTCCTTTAGAAAAGAAACCCGCCCGGGGATCCTTTTTCACTCCCTCATTCCCCCCGCGTCGTTGTAAAGGGTTTCCCGTATACAGTCAAAACAAGCGTCCCCCCCTTAAAGTGTACCCCCTTAGGGCACTTCAGCCCCTGAACAAGTTTTCCATAGTTACACCCACAAGGTTTCCATATCACCATAATTAAAAATAAAAGTTACCATAAATTAAACTACCTTAGGAAATGTAAGACCCTTTGGGGACTTTACGCACTGCCAAACCCCGTCCCCCCCCCCCCCCTTTCCCCCTTTTAAAATCAAGTTTAATATTCCCCAAACCCAAAATTTTTTACTCAATTCCAAAAATTTCCTATTTTGTTTAATAAAATAATAAAATTTTCCTTTTTCCCTGCAGTCCCTGGTTAAACAAACCCAATTTAAAAAACTAAAACCTTTACCTACTTGGGTTTAAAAAGGAAAATAAAAATTACCCCGGGGGGAAAAAAGACCATGACACACCAAAAAATTAAATTCAAAGCCTTAGGAAAGTTCCCACAAAATTCAATGTTACAAAACACATAGGGGGTTTTCCTTAAAAAGGGTTTCAAAACCTTACAATTAAAAAAAGGTTAAAAATGGGGGGAAAAGGGGTTTTAAACGGATTTAAGAATTTTGGGGGTTCACCCAAATTTCAAACCCTTTCCCCCCCCCCCCCCCCCCCCCCCCCCCAAAACCCCCCCCCCCCCCCCCCCCACCCCCCCCCCCCTTTTTAAAATGAAAAATTTTTATTCCCTAAACCAGTTTTTCCCCCTCCAAAAGGGGCCGGATTTTTTAAACATAATGATAATATAAAACAAGAAATGGGTGAAGAGAAAATTTTAATAGTTTTTAAAAATTAAAAGGGTGGGAAATAAAGGGGAAAATAAGGAAGGTTTGGGAAAACCCCCCTTAAAAAAGTAAGTATTTAAAGGAAGGGAAAAAAGTGTTTAACGTTTTGTTATACAATAAAGAGAAGAAAGAAGTTTAAAGGTTATTTCAATACCCCCTGTAAAACCCCCCTGTCCTGTATCTACCCTCCGGGCAATGAGAGCACATAAACGAACCGGACTGTTCAGCAAAGGTTCCGACAGGACAAGCTTTAAAACACTCTAACCCCGCGGGGTGAGGATTTTTGTTTCCAAGTAAAAACTCTTATAGTTTTCCAAAGTTACATATTACCCCCGTATCTGTAATTTATTACCATTTAAAACGAGTTAAAAAAACTAAAAATTTTCCCTTTTTTAACCTACAAGTTTCCTTATTTAAACTAAAAAGTACCTTTGTTTAAAATACAAGTTTCCTTTGTTAAAATTTCCCAATTACCAAGGGAAAACTACAAGTTACCCAAATTAAAATACAAGTTACCTTGTTAAAACACAATTTCCTTTTTAAAAATACAAGTTACTTGTTTAAAACTACAAATTATTAAAGGGAACCCCCACAAATTTCCAAGGGAAAAACAAGTTACCATAGTTACTACTAACCCTCATATCTGGAGAACATGCCCCAAAGGGCAGGGGGGACAATTTAAAAGGGCGCCCCCCCACTGGACGGGCCCCGCCCAAAAGGGGGACAGAAAGGGGGGTCCGGGTAGAGTAGTGGGCCTGGGGCCAGTCGTAATCTCACCTGTCCGGGGTTTTTTAGCTTCTGTCCCGCAGGACACCCGTACACTCCAACCCGAAACAAAGTTCCGAGGGGAGTTTAAATTGTTTTTATAAATAGTTTCCTTTGTTACACTACTGTTCCCTGTTTTCACTACTAGTTAACCTAGTTACACTACTATTTCCATAGTTACACATAGTTACCATAGTTTCACAAATATTCCATAGTTTCACCACTAGTTACCTAGTTCATACTAGGGCCCCTAGTTAAAACAAATATTTTTCCCTAGTTTTTCCTTCTAGTTCCATAGTTACATACAGTTCCAAGTTACACCACTAGTTTTCCATGTTACCACATTAAAGTTTAATACCCGGGGGACCCAAAATTTTTACAGTTTCCATAACAAGAAAAGGGCCTATTACACCCGTTCCCTTTTTTTACACCTGTTTAAACACGACTGGGTTTCCCTTTGTTTCAATTTAGTTTTCCAAGTTACACAAATAGTTACCAAAGTTACCTACTTGTTTTCTAGTTACACTTTCAAATTTTAAAAAAGGTAACCATTTTCCATAGTTACACTACAAAATTTTTTAAAAAAGAAATTAAACAGTTACCATAGTTACAATACAGTTAAAATTAAAATAAAAGGTTTTCCATAAAGGGGCCCTATTTAAATTAAAAAATTTTAAAAAGTTAATATAGTTACCCAAAATTAAAATAAATATTTTCCAATTACTTTTTGGGGAAAAAGTGCCCCCAAAAAAATGGGGCAAATTTAAAAAAGGTTCCCGGGGGGCAAAGGTCGGCCATTACCCAAAAACTGTATTTTAAAAAGCCTTTTGGTGGTTATAAAACATTCCCGGTTAAATAATTTCACTATTAGTGTGGGCCCAAATTCCTTTGGTTTTCCAAAAAGTTTTCCACCTTCAAGGCCTTAAACTTCGGGGGGAAAACCGGTTTAAAATTCCTTTTTCTTTTTAAGTTACACTACAAGTAAAAAGAATAAAGTTTCCATAGTTACACTAAAGTAAGAAAGGGAAAAACATTACCAAGGGGCGCTATTTAAAATTTTCCCAAAAAAATAGGTTTTTTCCCTAGTTAAAATTTAAATTTTTACAATAACCATAATTGAAATAATTAGTTACCCTAGTAACCTAGGCCCCCAGTCCTGGGCACAAAAAAACAGGACAAACAATACAGCCCCCTTCCCAAATTTAGTCGGAGGGGTTCGTTTTGGTGCTATAGTGGGTTTCTTGGTTTCTAGGTTGCTAGCTCTGGTTTTTGAGGGGGATTTGAAGTAAAGGGGGTTTAGTGGGAAAAGGTTTTAAAGGGAAAGGGTATTTTTACACCCCCTTTGTTGAGCACCCCTGTCAGACGAGGGGGTGGTTTCTTTTCGTTTTCCAGGGGTTAATTAAATTTCATTCCCAGCCGCCCTGATCGTAAAATTTGTTCACAAGATTGTAGCCACTCTTCATGTCAAATTGTTTCAGAATTTTAAAGGGGGGGAAAGTTGACCCAAAATTTATTACAAAAACAAAAAGAAAATCGCCTAAAACATTTTTATTTTTTAAAAAACTAAAATTTTAAAATGGATTTTAAAAGCTTAAGATTAAAAATTTTACGAGGGATTTGCGAGCTTGAATCACGTAAAAATTTGCCCTTTTTTTGAAAATCACAACGGTTTTTAATTAATGCCAAACGAAACTTGTAGAATTTATAATCACCAAGAGGGGCGCAGAAATTTAATCGTTCGACAGGGTTTTTGGGCAAATACCTTTAAATTTTGGGAAAATTTGGGGAAAATTTTCCAGACCCAGCCTTTTTCCGCTCCCAACAAAACCCCTTTTCCCAAATACCCGGGGTCCCAGCACCCCTACCCAGCTACCCAGCAACCCCGCTACCCACAAACCCCGTACCCGCTACCCCCCTACCGCTACCCAGGACCCGGTCCCGTACCCCCTAACCCCCTACCCAAACCACCCACTTTCCGGGTACCCACTACCCGCCTTTCCCGGCTACCCCGCTACCCCGTACCCAGGGTACCCGGGGACCCAGGGTCCCCAATTTCCCCGCTACCCCCTTTCCCAGGGACCCATACCCCGCTACCCGGGTACCCAGCTACCCGGGTACCCCCTACCCAGCTACCAGTACCCCAACCCACCCAAATACCCCGCTACCCAAAACCCGCTACCCGCTACCCAGCTACCCCAAACTACCCAGCACCCAGCCCACCCAGCTACCCGGGTACCCAGCTACCCAGCTACCCAGCTACCCATACCCAGCTACCCCGGTTTCCCAGTACCCAGCTACCCGGGTACCCAGCAAAACCCGCTACCCAGGGTACCCATACCCAACAACCCCACCCAGTTTCCCCGCACCCGGGTACCCAGCCCCAGGGACCCCGCTACCCGGGTAACCCCGCTCCCGGGTACCCAGCTCCCCCGTTACCCAGCTACCCCCCCCC